AAACTCAAAAAATTAGGCACAGAGGGAACATATCTCAACAGCATAAATGCCATCTATGACCAGCCCACTACTAATGTTATTCTCAATGGTGAAAGATTGAAAGCTTTTCCCCTAAGATCAAGAGCAAGGCAAGGGTGCTCATTTTCACCAATCTTATTCAACATAGTACTAGAAGTATAGTTAGAGCAATTAAGCAACAAAAAATAAATAAGTAAAAGGTATCAGAATTAGAAAGAAAGAAAAATTATATCTATTTGCAGATGACACTCTTTCATTTAAAGAAAATCCTACAGGTTCAACTAAAATCCTGTTACATCTAATCAATGCATTCAATAAAGATGCAGAATACAAAATTCACATACAAAAATCAGTATACAATAACAATGCATTTTCTCAAATAAAAATAAATATTCGATAGATCCCATTTACAATAGCATCAAAAACACTAAAATACCTAGAATAAATTTAACTAAGAAGGTGAAAGATCTCAATTCTGACAACCAGAAGACATTGATAAAAGACATTGAAAACATAAATAAATAAATAAATAAATAAATGCAAAGTTATTCTGTATCCCATGGCATTTTTTACAAAAGTAGAATAGCCTCCTGAAATGTATATGGAACCACAAAAGACCCTGAATAGCCAAAGAAATCCTGAGAATGAAGAACAAAACAAAAGGCCTGATTTCAAGCTATTCTCTAAAGCTATTATCATCAATATAGTATGGTACTTGCATAAAAACAGAAATATAGACCAGTGGAACAGAAGCAAGAGCCCAGAAATAAACTGAAGACTATGGTCAACTAATACAAGACAAGAGTCCAAGAATACTCAATGAAGAAAAGGCAGTCTTTTCAAAAAATGGCATTGGAATAATTGGATATTGACTTGTAAAAGAAAAAATGAAACTGGACCCATACCTTACACCACTCACAAAAATTAACTCAAAATGGATTAAAGACTTAAATGTAAAACTTAAAACCATGAAACTGCTAGATTAAAATATAGGAATAAAGCTCTTTGACATGGGTCTTGGTAATGATCTTTTGGATATGACACCTAAAGCACAAGCAACAATATTAAAAATAAACAAAGGGACCTATATCAAACTAAAAAGCTTTTGTGCAGCAAGAAAAACTTTCAACAAAGTGTAAAGAAAACCCACAGAATGATAAAAAAAATACTTGCAAACCATATATCTGATAAGGGGTTAATACCAAAACTATGTAAAGAACTCATACAACTCAATAACAAAAATAATAATAATAATGCAATTTAAAAAATGGGCAAAGGACCTGACTCCACGGAAGATATATGAAAAGCCAACAAGCTCATGAAAATATGCCCAACACCACTAGTCATTACAGAAATGCAAAGTTAATCCACAATGACATATCACCTCATGCCTGCTAGAATAGCCATCACCAGGAAGACAAAAAATTACCAGAGATAGAGGAATGTGGTCAAAAGGTACAAAATTCCAGTTATAAGATAAGTATTAGGAAAGTAAGGTAAAACATAATGACTAAAGCTTACACTGCTTATGATATATGGGAAAGTTATTAAGAGAGCAAATACTGTGACTTCTCATCACAAGGAGAAATTTTTTTTCCGTTTTTCTTTTTTCTTGATTTTCTTTATATTGTACCTATGTGAGAAGTTGGATGTTAACTGGACCTACTCTGCTGTGCATTTCACAATGTATGTAAATCAAACCATCATGCAGTATACCTTATATTTATATAGTGATGTATATGTCAATTTTTTCTCAATGAAACTGGAAAATAAATAAATAATAATCTTTCTGGTCCTGAGAAACAAACCCTAGAGAAAAAATTGGGGGAGAGTAAGTTTATTACATTGCTTAATACAAGATATTCAGAAAAGAGAAAGCATTTATAGGTGGAATAATAATCAATTATTAAATAAGTTTATCTTTTAACAATAGTCTAATTCATTATTTGACATCTCTATTTCCTAGCATTAAAAACAAACAAACCAACACACCAAACACTAACACTTTCAACTCTTGTCCCTGGCACTAACTCCAGAAGTATTTGCACTGTTTTCTTATTAATGCAAGTCAAGAATAAAAACACAAATATATGAATACTGTTATGCACTACATTAAACTAGTCTAGTTAGGAATTAGATGACTCCATTACCTCTCATTGCACACATGTGAATATAAGCAATAATCATTACTGAATGCTATATATTGAGCTCATTGTAAAATAAACTGCATTAACTTTCACAATATTCATTAGGAAAAAAAATGAAAAAGTTTGAAAAACTCACAGAAGGCAGATATTAAAAGAAGTCGTTTTTTTATCATTTCCAAGTTATTAAGGTACTCTGTGGGCCAGTTGTGCACCCTCGCTCCAAAAACTGTTAACTTAATATGACTTCTACTTGAAATAGAGTGGAATTCTAGAAGCCACAGCTACCTGCACTGAAAGTAATGAAGCAGTTTAGCCATTTGATGGCAAGACCTTCACTGGTAATCTGGGTTCACAGGCAAAGGCCATGGTGAACACTTAGAAGAAACAAGGGGCCTGCTCTGACCAGGAGGCACAGCAGCAGCAACTTGTGGGCATCAAGCTTTTCTTCCTGTGGATGTGAAGATCCCAAGGGAAGCCCACTATAGAGATCTAGGACAGTAATGACACGTGGGAACACTGCTGAGAACTAATCCCAAGAGGAAAGGTCAGGAGTCACGCATAGAGGGAAAAAGTATTCTTGGCCACACATAGCCCCTGAGAATCAAAAAATAGCCACAATGTTTTGGTTGCTTTTCTGTGTATATTAAGAAGACTCTGAATAAGTAAAGACACTGTGCTTCAGCCTCAGAATATTATCAGTTTTGAATTGCTTGTCTTGTTTCAGGACATGCTTTCTTTAAGTATGTCAAGTATGAACATAGCTGAATTACTACATAGGAAACATCAGATAATCCAGAGACCTTACAGAGGAGAAAATGGAGGCCCTAAGCAGTTAAATGAATTTAATATATTTAAAAGTCATAAATTATAGATTCAAGGCATTAGTGTTAATATTGTACGGTTCATTCTAATGGTATACATATTTTATGCTAAGAATAAAATATACATGATGCCATACCTTACATGGAAATCATAGTAGTGAAAACATAAATGCACATAAGTAAGCACTCAATATATAGTATTTCCTATAGATTATCACAGAATATATATATCCATGCAGGTGATTTTCTCATTTGAAAACTGATCAATTCTACTCTCCAAAAGTCTCTATTTTCATTCAGCTTTATTTAGGCCTAAAATAAAACCCTTCCCAACATTTACAGACTCTTAGCGTTGCAAAGAATTTCAAAAACCACTGTAAGCCCTTTGTAATTGGATTTGAGTTTGAAAAGCAGCAACAGCGCTCCATGGCTCTTCCCTACCATTTTCTTCCCTGAACCAATAAAGAACACTACAGTCCACATAAGAAGAAAAATATGAGAAAATGAATGCATCCCCAATGGTTCCTCTACTAAGAATCCATTCTATAAAATGAGTCCTGAGAAACATTCCAGTCTTGGGTTTCACTGCAACCAGGCAGGAACGAGGTTAGGGCCAATAACAGACCCCCACTTGCTTCTTAACCCACCAGACCTCAAGTTTCCATTGTCAAGATCATGTTTTATCTACTTTATATTCAACCACCACTACCATGATTTTCCCCTTCTCCCACTCACCATGCCACTACTATGCCTAGCACTTGCATTAATTGATGGACAGACTGACTGATGGATGGACAGACAGACTGATAGATGGATGGATAATTGAATAAATACAGGTTTCAGCAGAAGTAAGGCTTGCTTGAGTGTGGTTAATAGGGTACATGAATGTCTTGCACAAGATGGACAGCAATTTGAACATTTCACCTAAAATATCATATGGTATGCTTGAGTGTGATATTGTTGTGTTGCAGAATTACATGCCTATGGTTTTGTAACAAAAGATTTTGTCATTTAAAAGAGGGGCATTATTTGTGCCAGACCCTGTACTTGCAATTTTCCTCTTTGGGTCCACTATAATTCATAACATTTATCCAAGTATCAGGGTAAAGTCTTTATCTTCTCTAGGGAAATGTTGTCATTATTTTCTTGTTAAAACTTACCAAATAGCCCTGGCTGGTGTGGCTCAGTGAACTGAGCACCAGCTTGTGAACCAAAACGTCACCAGTTTGATTCCTGGTCAAGCTTCTCTCCCTCCCTTTTTCCTCCCTCCCCCTCTCTCTAAAAAATAAATAAATAAAATCTTTTTTAAAAACTTCCTGAATATGTATAGGTGGAAAATTTTTAATCATAATAAAAAAATACCATAATTTGGGTAATACAACTTTATATTCAGGACTCAAAGAAAAATGTCTAGTCATGAAAATGTAGTGAAAAATTAGGATCTTCTAAATGTTACTTCCTATGTCTAAAATAATAATATGTCTAAATATAGACATAGAGATATGTCTATGTCTAAATGTTACTGTCTGTGCCTATCAGAATGAAAAGGGAGTAAGATTAAGTTAGGGCTGGAGTTGATGCTTTAAATGTTAAGAGATAGAGAGAGAGAGAGAGAGAGAGAGACTTTAGATTTGAAAGCATGGCTTAAGGAATATCTATGATATACGTGCAAATGAAATGCAATTCTGTTGTTAAAGTGAGGGAGACATGACTTATTTTACAGCCAAAGAAAAGATAGAATATTAAATGCACAATTTGTTGATGTTGATGAAGATGCACCTAGAGTCTGTGAGTTTACATACTGAAATAGAAGTCTTATCAACCACAATAATCTGCCCAGTTCACTCTCACTTAGCAGGGGGAGGTATGTTTCAAATAGAAGGTTCTTATCCATACTTCTTCATAGTTTCTAGGCAGCTTTTTGGAAAATAGAGAGTTGCAGATAGGTAAGAAGGAAAACTCATTACCCACCCTCAGAGAGTCGAGAAACAAAATGTGGGTTTGTACTACTCACGGCTCTGCCTCTAGGCTTCTGTCCTCAGCCACATAGTTAGAAGGAATATATCCCTGCAGCTGCTGGCCAGAGCGGTGTTCCTTTTTCTCCAAGTGCCTGGCGAACCACCAGCCCTCATGGGAAGTGTCCAGGACTTGGAGCTTATCACCTGCACAGAAGCTCAGGTCCTCTGCAGTCCGAGCCTGGTAATCAAACAGGGCCACAAAGTAGTGGCCCTGTGGCCTGGGAGCATTAGTGGGGCAGGGGATAGCTGCATTCTCATTCACCACCTGTTTGTCTGCCTCCTGGACAAAGCAGGGGAGATAGGACTTCAAGTATACCCAGAGCCTCAGGCAGACGTTGCCCATGATGCCCTGTCGCAGAGAGGAGGACAGGAGAGGGGCTTCTCCCTCTCCCCTTTATCTCTGCAGATTCACTTTCTCTTCCTCCACTGGGCAGCTTTGAAATCAGCACCAATTCACTAGGCTTCAGAGAGTGTGCAAAACCCTGTTTCCCAACAGTCAGGCAGACCTGGCTGCTTGGAGAGACTCGTCAGCTTGCTTTCTGTGGCTGTAGCTGCTGTCCCAGAGCAAAGCCGAGTGGGAGCTGGGCAGCTGCTCAGTGACAAGACGCCTCTTCTTGTCTGCTTTGGAATCCCACGACAAAAATAAAATTAAGAAGGCTTTATTTAGACAAACGTCTGAGAACAGAAAAGAGTCCCCTTGCCTTTTGTCCCAAGAAAAAGTTAACAAGAGAAAGATGTTAACTCCAGGTAAGACCTCCACGCCTTGCCTTTGCCAGGAGCTCTCTCCCTGCTTCAGGTCTGTCTCCGTCTTTCGACCAGTCCTGACCCCCAGTGCTCTTTCCTTTTTGCTAATGAGTAACCAACAAGCCAGGACGATTGCCTTTAACATCCTGAGCTGTGAACAGACTCTAATAATTTCTCCTTACTTCCTGGTTTCTCTTTCTCTGGAATCTAAATGAGATTCCCGCCCTCTTTACCTCTCCCTTCTCCAACACCCAAGAGAGACCAGCGCCCTCATCAGGAAGCCAAACTCTTAAATTAAAGCAGCTGCCAAAATCCCTACTCCTGGACAACAGGCTAGCCCAAGGAGCTTTTTGTCTTGCTATGTTCCCAGCACAGAAATCAATGGCAGAGATTCCCCCCAATCCCTGCCCACCCCCAAAGATGAGTAGGATTGTTTTGCCACCACTAGGGGAAATAAAAAAACAAATTAAAGTGTTTAGGTATTGGTTATTAGGGGAAAAAAGGCAATTGGGAAAGAACCATTGAGTTCCTACCTTTTTTTAATCACTATGAACATGTTTTAATAGCTTCAGAGTCTATCTACAGTCTAGAAAAGTATGAATGCAGATAACTAAAACGCTGAGAACCCAAAACATTGCTTTCTCCCACAGAGGTATTTAATTTCCCATCTCTCAAGCACTATTTCTGAAACACACACACACGCACACAAACTAGGTTACAGGTGGAGAGAAAGGGTAGAAGTGCAGTGTGTGCGCTGCTAGAGGCTCTTTCTCCGAAACTCTGGCCTCCAGGTCTATACTAGTTACTACTAACTTTATTAGCAGGCGCTCGGGACTTCATGAAGCCAAGACCAGGTCACAGTCCCAGCTGGCAGTGGGTTTTCCTCTACTTCTCCAGTTCAGGGCAGCTGGATCACATCACATATGCGTGTCTGGGATCCCAAGAATCCAGATGTGAGTTCGGATGGATCAGTGTATTGTCATTTTCGCTAGTAGAGAGCACTGCAAACTTGTTAATGATGTGTCCCTTGTTTCTGTATAAGACATTTATTTAAAAGTTTCTCTCTTAAAAACAATCTCTTTGTTGATGGAGTTTGAACCTGGCTAACCTAGTCCTCAGTACAATCTCAAAATTCCTGCTCTTTGTCAAACAGCAAGGCACTTTTAGTAATCAGAAAAAAAAATGAACAGAAGAAAAAAAAACAGAAAGAAAGAAAACCAAAGAACAATGGCCTCAGCCCCACCTGCCATGACCTTGTAGTAAAATTAGGCATTTATGCTGGATAGAGCATCTGGTTCGAACAAGATCTCAGGTCACAATCCCAGGTTTCCCCAACTGTCTTGAGAGTCAGAGAAGTACCCATTCTGCAGGACTAGCAAAACTAAAAGCTGAGCCAGGTTGGCTTTTTCTGTTTGTTTGTCATATAAGATCTAAAATATAATTCCACATATAAAACAAAAGAATAGCAATTATACAATACTGAGAAACCAGAAAAACATTTTGTTCTAAACACAGTACTAATTGTAAAAGTATAAGATTCTGTTAATCCATCTGAACAGAGGCATAGATGCTAAAGTTTTTCCAGAGATACCTACATGATCTGAAAATGAAATATTTGGAAGAGAAGAACTCAAAACCAATTTGTAAGTAGAGTTTGAGACTTCAAAAATTTGAAGGTTCTAAATTCAAACATGCCTCCGTTATGGTTATGACAAGGCATTCCAGGAAAGGACAAAGGGGCAGATGTGCACGGACAGTCCCTGAGCTAGTGAATGAAATTGAAAAAGCAGCTGACCAGCCAAAGATGTCAGGCAAGCAGTGGCCTGAGAAAGCTAAGTCAAGGGGTGGGAGGAGAAAGGGTTTCCTTGTGTCGGCAGCGCCAGAATTCTGCGGTCAGCCAAGCTTGAAGCCTTGCAGTCCTGTTTTATTCTTTCCCTCGTTTCTCTGAGCTAATCAATCATCAAATTTTGCTCAGTCTTCTTTTTCATTTACTTCACAATTATTTTTTTAATTTCTTGCGGATGACAGCTGGTACTGGGCAAAAAAAAAAAAAAAAAAATAGAAGAATATTCTTCCCGAGGTTATCCCAGAGGCCTCCTAACTAGTCTCCTTCCTCTAGTTTATCCACATATCTCTGACTCACCTTGCACACTACTCCATTTTTATAATGGTAATAGTGCTAGAGGTCATATGTGTGTACTAGTAAGAGTAGCTATCAGTTTTGGAGGGCTTCCTATTTGCCAAGAACTGTGCTAAGAATGTTACAAGTGATACATCATTTAATCCTCAGAAAATAAAAACAGTACCTAAGAATAGTGCCATTTTCTCTAATCTTAGAGAAGAAGAAATTGGGGCTTAGAGAAGTTAAGTAACATGGCCAAGGTCACACAGCCAGCAAGTGGCTGAACCATTAGTAACAAACACCCTAATCTCTGTCAGACTCCAGAGCCTCAGGTTGTAACTCCTCGATTCTGATGACTCTTAAAAAAAGTCTAATGTCAAATCTACCATGTAAAATTCTTCAGGGACTTCCGACATGTTGGGAACAAAACCTAAACTCTGAGGCTGAAAGAGGTCCTGACAACTTCTCTAACTTCACAGCCTTTTTCTCCTACACCAGCGCCCTGTAATGCAGGTTCACCAAGTCACCAGCCGCTCTTGAGGCCCAAGGTCCTCCCCTCTCTGCACCCTTGCTTTATCCTCTACCTGCTTCCTGGGCAACTTCCTTGTGATTTCCTAGTGACTTCTTGTGATTTTCCCAGGCTGGGTTCAAGGGGTCCCTTCTCTGCCATAGAGGTTAGAGGCCCTCTGTTCTGTGCCCCCTAAAGCCGGGCACACTTTTCCACTTGTTTTCCTATTGAATTCCACTTAGTTTTCTTACTTGCTTGACTTTCCCAGGAGAATAAAATTTCTATGGATGAAAAAAGAATTCTGTAGCAAAACTGACAAGTACAGTGATAGAAAGTGAGTCACAGAGTGATTTGATCATAAATTTCTAACTGGGCAGGTCATGGTAGCCACACCCTAGGCACAAAACTTCTTTGACAAAAGGTTTACCTGCGCCCTAAGCAAGCCTAGTCCATTGTTGTGCATCTAAGTAAATACATTTTGGGAATGCCAGAGTAATCCTCTTCTTAAGATTTCTCCAAGGCATGATCGTCCTCAAGGGGGCACATAATCTGTTAACTATCCTATGTGAACGCTGAGAGAAAAAGACACACACTAAGAAGGGCTTCTAGAGTCTAGCTGTGCTCAAATTTTAAAAACCAGAGCCTAGCAGCCATTTTGCACAGGGACTTCTCACACAAACTGCACTTTACAAAGAATCTGCATTGGACTGCCTGCCTCTGGGCTGAACTACCTACTTGCACTGTGTGTCTGAGGTTTGAGCCAGCCCTTATAAAGGTGTTTTTGGAATCCTATTTCAACTATTAGGACTGAGGACTTCCCCATCCAATCAGAGCTGCATGGCTCTGGCCAATCAGAGCAGCTCTATTCAGATCAATCAAGACAGTGTCTTTTGGACCAAACTGTGAGAATTTGTAGTCCTCATTTGCATGAGGATGGATCAATCAGGGACCTAACAGATGGAGACTCCTGTCCATAAAAGCCAACTTCCTTCTAGCTTGGGAAGCGCACTTTCCATCAAAGACTAAAAACTCTCTTCCCCAGCTAGAGCTGAAACATCAAAGGCACCTTACCAGAGCAGAGTGAAGCAGACCAACACAGGGAAAGCAGGTGGGTACGGAGCAGAGCAGGGCTGGCCATCAAGGAGCAGAACAGAGCTGTCTAGCCAGAGGGGGGCCTGGCCTCAGCTGGTCCACAGTTGTGTTGTTCTCACAGCCATGCCGTATCACAATTGAGCTGTTTTGCAGTGAATAAAGTTTCCTCCTTCACTGAACCCTAAATCGGAGATTGCTGTTGGCACTGAATTAGTGCCATCCTTTGACAGTCCAATCCCCCCCAGACCTTGCTGTTTCTCCCCTTCAGGTAATCCCTAAATTCCAAATGCACAAAAGAAACTTCGAATTGCCATTTTTCAGGGCATTTGAAACCTTGCTTCCTGACATATGTCTTCAGTTGGATTCGAAAAACTTAAAAATTCTCTACAGGTTTGGACATTCTTACATTGATATGTCCTTCTCAGAATTTTCAGGGAAGAATGAATGTCCGATGCGTAAGTAATAAATACTCAGTAACTATTAGTGGGTGGCGGAGGGGGGGGGGAAGGAAGGAAAGAAAGGAGGGAGGGAAGGACAGAAGAAGGGAGGGAGGGAGGGAGGGAGGGAGGGTGGGAGAGAAACCATTGGAATGAGATAAACACATGCAAGAACTCACAAATGACAGAAAAATTCCAGTGTGAAAAGTGCTGGGAACACAAAAAGAGTGATGTTCTGTCTATTGTTTCTCAGTCCCTTTTCTTTCCTCTCTTACTGTTTCCTGAATATCGAGTTTCTTTGCCAGCCTCCTAAACCAGTTTTCCTGCCCATCATCCTTAGAGCAAACTGCCATCACTTTAATCTTATTAAATCACTCTCCTGCTCAATAGCCTTCAACAGATCCTCTCTGCCTGGTAGATATGGCTTGGAATTTAAGGCT